CGAAATCAGTTTGAGAATTGCTGTACAGTTCGGTCTCGGTTCGTGGCGATCTAAGCAGACATGTATAGCGTTATCGCGAGTGGTGAAAGCACGCCGTTCAGAGATCCACATGATTGAATCTAACCGATCTCTGAACGTGCTTTGCCGATAGCAGACATGGCAATGAACTAAGCTGGCCAGCACTTCCGCTGATTGCAATGCTATCAGACGGGTTTGCAATGGGAGTAGCAGGGAGCAGCAGAATTCGCACTTGCGCAAGGCGACAAGTGATGCACATCAGGTGACAGTGAAGGAAAAAATGGTTGCACAATCATTAGAGGGGATTTTTGCAAAAGCACTTTCTAAAACTGAACGGTCTCCAGACTGCAAGCGTCCGTCTTATGGAGTTTTCCTAGCAGTAAAATGAGTCCTACCGCATCGGCAGTACCAACACATCTGTAAAGAGCATAACAGTGGCAATTGTTCCATAGATGTTATGCGCTGAATAGAGGCGAAAAGCCTAGACAGAAATGTCACTTGGATGCGGTACGCGATGCATCGTCGACGTCATCGCCGCCAGGGGCAAGAGCAACATGTGGTTGAAATTTCTGGGCGATTATCCATCCGCAGCTCCCATGGAAACGCATATTGAGTGAGGGCGATGCCGAATGTTCAAATAAAAGCAAGGTGAGCCAGGGCTTCGCGGGAGGTGTCTGGCATCATGCCCGATGTGCAATCCGCGGGCACATGCCACCAAGAGCTCGAACCTTCTTTTTCATAGGTCCCAGGTCCGGGTCGAGCTTCCTTCCCGAATTCCACATCGCTCTTGTATCTGGTTCCGAATATGTGCGCCGGCAACGTCCCTTTGGCGGAGAGGTGCTGGGGCCCAAAGGAGGACGGGAGATTGTATGTTGACCCTGGAGATGTCTGAATGTGTTGTGGGATGCTGATTAGATTTCGGACATCAAACAAAGTGACGATTACATGGATGAGGTGCGAAAATATGCGAATGTCCTCTGTCAAGCTAGGCCTCGGTGTGTGGTGTCTCTCGGCAGGGGATCCCGACTCGAAAACGACTGTGCGTTTCTCGCGGCAAGAAAAGCGTCCTAGCAATATCAGCGCGAAAACCCACCCATTTGCGCAATCCGGGATCAGTGCAAATCACCAAAGCTCTGAACCGCGTACACAGTATGGTCAAAATGGAGTTAAGGTGAACCGAGCGCGTTGTAGAGACTGCCTTCAAGAAAACCAATGTAAGCTGAATTCGGGCTTGGAAAGGATATATTGCAGGATGAAGGCATTGCTGATAGTCCATTGCGCTGTCTGAAATACTGAGGAAAGGAAACTGCTGAAAGAAGCCATTTACCGGCACATGCAGTTGCCTTTTGAACGAGCGAGAAATGTACTCCGACCCATGGAGTCATCGATACAAGGAGGATTTGACTCATCGTCTCCACTGGTTTATATATTAGATGCGATAGAACCAAGAGAGGAGCCCAAATGTGCAAACTTTAAAAGCTCGATATCGCAGTTCCCATTGATATAGAATGCATGACTTGACACTGCACCAACGCTGGCGCCCTTCTGTACTTTCAAAGCCGCGACCCTCCGGTTTTTCAGAATTTGACAAGCGCGGGACCTCATTTACAATGAATCGCACAATTTGCACCATTTTTTCTGTAAATTTCCAGCCCGACGGCCTCAGATAGACTCCCTCATTAAGAGTTTCTGACAATCATCTGTCCGCGAGACATAAAGAGGTCTTGCTATGCTGCACGTATCAATCATACTCCTAACCTTGTACCAGTCAAGCATTGATTCATCCTTGAGGTTACTCGGGCAACAAGGCACGTTTCCCAGCATTTCTCCGGCGCCGGCATTACAACTGTTCTCCACACCTACCTTTCCAAGGTTCCTTGTCATAAACTCCTTGTCATATATCCTCTCTGTTCTCCCTGAGGACCCGAACCCAATCTTTGGGTTCGTGACTCTCGTAGACAGCAACTGGATGTCGACGCCGAATTTCCAACATCAGTGCCAAAGAATGGTTTCCTTTCCTCGATACATATGCGCCGAACAGAAGACATCAGCAGTACATGATGAGGAAGCTGTGCGGATCTTAACGCACAATGGTTGCGTCACACTGGAGGCCAAAAAACGACCTGGACGTGTTCCTCCCCTCTCGTTTAAAATTGGCGAGCTAAACCTTTGTGGAAACGGGTAATGTGGCGAGGCACAATACCCAACTTTCAAAATCTACATGCTCTTAAAGTAGACAACCTTTCAATCTTTTGATAAAGTCTGCTTGCTTGTCTCTCAATTATCAATTGATGTCTACAGAAAAAGATAAATTTAGATTTGAGTCACCGCTCTCGACGTCGTGAGCTGCTGAAGTCCGAAATTAGACTTTTCAAAGCGACAACCACCTTATAAAGGAAGGGTTGCAGAACCGCAGCAAGGTGCACCGCAACCAGGTATTCGAGGTGCACCAAATTTCCAATTTCGAAAGCAACTGCTTGGACACAAATGGCCACAAGGGCACCTTAAACGCTGATACGTAGAGCCGCGGTACAGTGCCGATGGATGTGCAAGTGCAAAGCAGATTGCAGCACTGGGGGGCGCCTGGCCTTTGCATTTCGGATGCTCACCTGCTCCCCAAAGGTTGAAATTGTTCCTGCAATTTGGTCAGGCATTTTGATTCACCAGTCAGCATCTCCTCCACCAGGGGTATAGGAGCAATTGCGAGTTCCTCGACGCCTGCCAGGATGCGCGAACGTCCTTTGCCCCACGGTATTTTGTCCAGCCGCGGGTGCTGGGGACTGCGGGGGCATATGGACACGAGGGCCTATGATGATCGATGGAATCGCATTTCAATAATGCGCACAGCGCTCGGAGTAGCTTTCGACTGGCCGGGCAGACGCCACCTGCATATTGAACTAACGAAAAATTAGAAAGGCTAAACCTAGTCATTTGGATTGCAGACATTCGAAGTCTGTAACGACAAGTACATGATGGAAGCCGAAGCTTCTTTCCCCGTCTATCCCATATCCTGCGCTGGATTGGATCTTCATCGAATGTTTCATCACCATCAAGAGTTCTTACATATCAAGGCGAGGAGGCAGCCATCGAATGTTTCACGTGGGTCAGTTGAGCCGAACCACTTCCGGGAACCTTTTCCGGCAATTTTCGTGAATTCTAAGGTCTTAAGACATAACAACTAGATGGATAGCCGGATTGCAGCAATAGGTTAGGCTGTCATTGAACAATATTCGACACTCTCGTGCAGCATAAGGGGGCGATGGCTGTCTTCCCACCTTGGTAATTAGTTTGATTGAAGATGAACATCACTGACGAGCGAATTCAGCGATGCTTTATTCTATACTAGCAAGCTTGACTAGAAGACTGTGTTTTTTTAGTCAACGCGGTGTGTGCGACCGCTTCGCTGGATCCACGCATGGCATTATATCACGATCCAATTTCCAGGAACATTTGCTCATAGCACACAAGCTTCCGTGCCAGATCTGAAGCGCGAACCAAGCATTTTGAGGGGCGGCTCTTCCCTGATGCACTGATCAACAATGCCTCCCATAACACTGTAAAATTACATTTGCGCAGCTCCGTTCTAATACGGACGTTGACGGCTGAGGCGAAACGACGGATCGTCTATGAGCAACACCAGTGTGGCGATATATGTGGTATATGCTATGCCGCCCAGCGACTGTCTGATGGAAATGCAGCGCTTTGCCACCTCTTTCGGAACGTCCCTCAACGGATCGCATTTTGTGCTTGCACAGCATGTGAACCCCTCAACGAAGTCTCACTGATGCGCACTCATTCCGAAATAGACCACGTCTGTCGACGCCATCGCCTATGTGGCTGCAATCGTTGAATGCCTTGAGGGCTTCTTCGCCTGTTTCCACTGCCGGGTCGCTTTCTGACGGCTGAACAGTAACCGCAACAGTCACGCAACTTCATTACGGAATTCCCAAGCCGCTTGCCACCACGCTGTTAATGTGGTCCCAAAGAAGATATAAATTGCCCCTTTATTGGCATGCCTACCACAGCAAGCCAGGCGATTGCATCTGCCGAGCAATGCAAAATCGCGTTTTCCTCATTCCTCGTCCGCGTTCTTGGAAAGGTTCTTGAATTACTCTCTTGAGCGGGCTCTAATACCAATTCACTCTTTCAAATAACCTGTACACTTCTGAAGTAATCTGAATACACCAAGAAATGCTTTGAAAACGCGCTTTGACGGTACATTAGCTCATTTCCATTGTTGTTGATAGGCTGACATAAGCCTCAAATTTAGAAGCTGCAGCCACGCCTTTGCTTTGCAATTTTCTTGTGCTTGCAGTCAGTGAGGGTGGAGCCAGGCTTATTTTGCGCGGATACGTTGCCTTGCATTCTCTGAATTTCCAGCCATTCCAGGACTTATGAATTCTCCACGACAAATGCGCAGTCAACTGGAAACTATGCAGCTGAAAAGCTGGTACGTGTGCATTTAGGCACTCAACTGACAGATAACCTAGAAACAGAGGGCAATGGAACCTACGTGCAACTGTTGCACATAAGTGAAACCCGCGATGGGTGGGTTGCAGTAACAATATAATTGATGATCAAGATTTCTTGATGCTGATGGCAGCAGCGATGATGCTGAAAAGACCAGGGGTGGCAAAAAATTTCCTGTAGAGCAGTCACAACTCACAATTCGTTGGGCATCACTCAACGTGCAGTGGAAATGGAACTGACTGTTCAATTCAAGTCTGATGCATGTTTTGTCTGAGAGGCTTTCAATACTACGCCCCCACCATCGCATCTGTGCTGGCCGGTTCGCGTCTTGCGCACCAGCATGCAGCCTCGAGCATCGCCCGCCCGTGCAAATCCCAGCGGGTAGCCTTCCTTCCGGTCGCGGCGCCTACCCCCTACACCCCCCCGGACGCCTTCCCTCGCCTCAGCACCCGGGCTGAACCCTCGTGGCCCTTGCGGCCGCCCGCGCGGCCCGACCAATCAGCATCCCCGCCATGGTGGTCGTCTCCGAGTCATCGCCGGAGACCCGCCACGCCTTTGTGACGGAGTGGCTGGACCCCAACTCCGGTATCCGATGGACCTACCAGCTCTTCCACTACCCCGCCGTGGGCGAGGTCGAGATGCACGATGTCAAGAACCGCCGCATGTTCCTCAAGCGCTGCCGCAGCGACCTGCGCCCCGGGGACCTGTACGTGGGCGCCACGGTGAGCCTCTTCGCGCGCCACCTCAAGATCACGGACTACGGCGACGACGCGACCAGGGCCGCCCTAGAGCCCCGCGCCGAGAGGACGTGCGCGATTGTCAAGCCCGATGGCGTTGAGAGGCTTGGGCGGATCATGCATGCGATTGGCGAGACGGGGCTGGCGGTGGCGAGCCTGAGGATGGCGCAGCTGACGCGGGGAGATGCGGAGGCGTTCTACGGTGGGCATGTCGGGAAGCCGTTCTTCGGGAGGCTGGTGGAGTTTATGAGCGGCGGGCGAGTGGTGGCGATGGAGCTGGTGGGACCCGGGGCGGTGGCGCGGTGGCGGCAGGCGCTGGGGCCGACGGACTCGGAGCAGGTGGGGCTGACACGCGCCTTTGGGCTGCCAGTGACTGGATGTGGTTTTTGGATTTGACTTTTGTTTTCCCGGTGGCCAGTGGGGGTGGAGATTGCCGAGGATGGTCTGCAGTGAGCTGCCAGTCGGGCAGACACTGGATGACCGTGCGTTTGTGAAACCCTGCGTCATTGATATCAGGGTTGATTCTGGAACCATGTGACGGGCAAGGAGAATGCAACCATGAGGAAAGGGGAAAGTGTGAAAGAGGAGGGTGGGGTTGGTGGGGAGGGGGAACGATATGGAGACAGGGGACTGGGGCTTTGTGTGTTCATTCTGCACATGTGGCTGACAGTTTGCACCTGAATATGATGGGAACCCACAGCTGATGCAGGAGCAGGTCTTCCAGTGGAGATAATCGTTATCCTTATGCTATTGTGGATGAGTTTTTGGTGGCATATCAAAGGCGCACTAGGCATTGCTCATGGATTGCATAAATGTGGGGAAGATGTCCACTGGAAAACTATAGAATGATTATGGACACGTTGGAAATCTCTTTGTGTGTGTGTGTGTCAAGATGTTAAATCCAAACCCCAGGTCATACAATGGAGCACCCCCTCCTAACCAAGTATACAATGGGCCCTATTCCGCTTTGCAGCACTATAGGTGCCACTGTCAGCAAGAATGAAAGCGAATGCAGGATGTATGCACCAACCTACAAACATGTACTCTGGGGTTGTCCATAAGAACCGAATCGTCACGGTTTGTTCACCGTAGCAGTATGTGTACGCATCATGTTGTCCGTCAACAAACGAAACAAGAGAGAATCGTCTCAGCTCGTCACTGTATATGTAGCGAAGCAGTATGAAATCGCAACAGGTTGGTGTGTGTGTGTTTGTGTGTGTGTATGTGTACTTAACCTTCTCTGCAAATTTCTAATTCTCAACTTTATTTCATTGTTTTGGTGCTGTATGTTAAGGAACTTGTTCATATGCCAGACAGAAGATGGGATTAAAGGGGAGCACAAGCTCAAAACGATGCACATGTACGATGCTTGCAGAAAGTTCCTCAGAGTTTTGAACTGGACAGACCGAGTAGAAGTAATTATCTCCATAATCTGTGTGTCATGGCCTCGATCATAGTTTCAACGCCAGCAAGCCATGTTCCTGAAACGGAGGTGCTGTGTGGGCATGGAATGGCCAAACCGCTCCGTTGGAAATGTCGTTTTCTAGCGGAGTAGTTGCTGCTGTGCTCCTCAACCAACGTACTGTTCAACATTAAATATGCCTGCATGTGTACCAAACTTGGCTGTGCGTTTAGCACTGGGCCTTCTGCTGTTTTGCCACTTTGCCCCAACCTCACATGCTTGAGGTGTGTTGCAGGCTCGTGCAGAAGCCCCAGAGTCGATCCGTGCAGCTTTTGGCACAGATGGAACTATGAATGCCTGCCACGGGTCTGACTCCCCTGCAGCTGCTGCAGAGGAGCTGAACTTCTTCTTTGGCTCTGGGAGTACTGTGAGAAGGTGTGGCACTAACCAGGGGACAACACTGGCCATTGTGAAACCCCATGCTGTCCGGGACGGTGCCACAGGGCTCATTGTGGACTTGATACAAGAGAAATTCTCCATCAACGCGATGGAGATGCTAAGGTGGGCTGCATTCTGCAATTCAGCTGTTAACTATCACTTCAACTCATAGTGAGTGTTGTGCATGCATACCATGTGTTAATGTCCTGGAGGTGTACAACAGGATAGCATCCATCAGGATCGTGCCCAGTCACTGGAGGCTCCATTTAGGCACTCCATTTGGGCACTGCGTTGAATTGAAGACAGATTGCTTTTACCATAATCTACAAGGGTGGAGAGGAAATAGCATTCAACCTGCCCGAGAATTTAGAGTACCATAGTGTACAATACCGTTTCGCATAATAACATAACATTTGGGCGTTTCATGCAGAGCAATGGTAAGAACGTAACTGTGCAAAGAAAAAGTGGAGCAGCCACAGTCGTGATGTGAGAGTCATTGGAACACTCGTGGCATCTATCAGCCCTAGACTGGAGTCAGTGTGGCAGAAAACTTGCGTGTGAGGCCATGTGAACTGAGCAAAGTCGCCATTCTGGCTGTGACCATGATGTTGAGCCCTCCTTCAAAGAACGGTCTGCGGAAAACATGCGGAGCAAAACATGTTATGCTGAAATTTCACAATGTGGAAGGGTATAATGTGCTTTGGCAAATACACTACTTTCTTCTTTCATATCTCAGCATGACTGCACAATTGCCACAGTACCCTTCTGCCAATTGCGAGCCTCTGATTTGTGGATACGTTCACCCAGTCTTGATCAAGCCAATGCGGCGGAATTCTACGAGGTCTATCGTGGAGTTGTTAATCCGGCTGAATACAATGGAATGGTGGATGAGCTGATTTCTGGGCTCTTCATAGTGATGGAGGTTGCAGATCGAGACAGTCTGGAAGCTGTTGAGCCCTTCAGAGAGTTTTGTGGCCCTGCAGATCCTGAAATTGCGCGTGTTCTAAGGCCAAAATCCCTTAGGGCTCGATTTGGTGTGAATAAAGTTCAAAATGCTGTGCATTGCACAGACCTCCCAGAGGATGGCGAACTTGAAGTGAGCTACTTCTTTACAGTGATGCAAAATTGAAATGATGGACCTAACACATTGGTGATGGGACACAGCCTGATCACATAGTGTCTTTGCCAATTGCAGATTGCCTATTCATTTGCTCCTAGCCAACAACTTTCAGAGACTCCATGGGAGTGCTTACTGACTGATGCAATCTGCATGCTGTGAAAGGTCATGCGGGATGTTTGCACCATTCCTACCTTGAACAACATATTGTAACTGCATTGCCCTTATTAGATAGCTCAGTGAGATTTGCACATGAACATCGAAGAGAGAGATGAACCATTCCATTATCTATAAATCCAATTTAGTTGGCCCTTGCTGCACAATTGTTGAAAACTTTGCTGCTAAGAATGTCATCTGTGCTGTAGCTATTCTGGTGCATAGTATTTGATGAAGATCACCAACAACAGGATGAGTGAGTTGTGTTGTGACAATGGATGGATGTCATGATCTTGAAAGTCCACCAGCTGCTGAGCTGAGCAGAGTTTATGGTCTGTTGATGAAGAATTACAACCTTTGCCATGCAGATGTAGAGTAAGGACATGCACAGCGGCCACCCTGATAAGTGAGAGGGTGCCGAACAGCCTGGAGCCCTTGCGGCTCAAGGCAAGCACAGGCACCGGAATAGGATATCACAGTTGGAAGCACATTGGGCTTGCCAGACACTATCCAGAATCACAATCACAATAAGTTGTCATTGGATACCAATGCATCCTCGCCATGTCCAACGCCTACCTTAACGATGGGGGGGGCGAGGTGTTATGTGCACGAGGCAGCACAAGCCTCATTTGCAATGTGAAATTTTGAGTCCAACTTGCTGCCCATTTGATTGATAATCTCATGTGTCTCAAGAAATCACAAACGTCCGTGTTTGATGATGCATAGGTAAGGCGAGCCGGCGCAAAGATGGCAGTGTAACAGTGGAGCCCATTCATTGGGCTCCACATGGGCATGCCCCCCAGTGGGACACCGATTTGCTCCGGTCACATGTCATATTGTTATATTTCCATTTGCACACGGAGCTCCCCTTGATATGCTTGTTGACAACCTATCCCACAGTTACGCTTATTTGCCAACCCAGCATTTGCCACCTTCCCTACGTGAGGTCGCACCTCTCCTGTTGCCTGTTTTCCCTGAAGTTACTCCCCTCTTCGTTCCCAATGGTCTTGTTCCCCTCAAGTTCCATTTCTTTGTTCTATTAGTGCTCTTCCCATGGCTCAGCCTGTCCAAGTGTGATTCCATGTCCCCCCGTCGGTGCATACCATTCTTATATTGGTACCATTCATTATACTATATTATGCACATGTTTCACACACTTTCCTACATGTTGTATCCTATCTGATTGTTGTATCCCTTGTGTGCGTTTAGCTACCTATATACAATTTGCCAAGCTACAGCTATAGCATTACCTGTTATACAACATATTGTGCAGTTATTCCCTTCATTATGGCAACACTTCTCCCGCTGATAGTTACACCGGATTGGTTGCGGAACTTCTACCATCCCCTACGAGTGTGATGTCATGTAAAGAAGACCCCAATGTTGTTGCAACATGATGGCAATCTACAAAATCAAGACTATCCATGATGTGGTGTGCGATATCTCCATATCATAGGTATAACCTTGCCTTCAAAAGGCAACAATAGAGGATTTGATGCAAAATATTGTTTAGAGTGTTTGTCCATATGAACAAGTGCCAACCGTATGGAGCTGAGTGGGTTCAATACAATAATGAGATGATATACACAGTTTTAGCATTTGCGTGCAACACCTATGCCCACCACTGCCATGAAGCATATAAAGTTACAAGTACTCTTGTATCCGCACAAAGCCAAACATGCAATCAATCGCGCCACGTGTGAGCAGCATGTGGAACACTTTTTTTCAGCATTTTGATCATTGTGACCATGCCCTCGTTGGTGCGGGAGCGATGCGCAATGTTCTGCTGCAACATCAACAAGACAAACTTTACCGTTTCAGTCCAATATGTGGTCATATATTCTACTTTTTTGTATTTTAGATACAAGAAAGGCACGTGATTCGGCCCCATTTCAGAGCTTCGAGAGTCCAAAAGTAGAAGAGAGCTGTTAGACAGGCCTTAGTGTCACCTCCACGTTGGACAGGTTGGATTGTGGGGTGGGGTTGCATTCCCAGCGTGTGGCAAACTCCAACATACACACTTTCATACATGTTGCAGCCATTGACTTGCAGGTGCAGGTACAGCCACAAGCTGCCCCACAGAAATACAAAATGTGATCAAAATGGTGCATCCATTGACCACCTAAGCCTCTTATAAATTTTGCATGTTGGCTCACAGGCCACCTGCTGGGAATGTGCAACAAATTTGTTTGTTGGTTTGCTTGTAAACTTGCCCATGTTGTATTCATGTAGTCCCATACTCACGATGGTGGTCTACCTTGCAAAAGTTCATATAATTAGTTGTGGTATGTGTGGTTCTCCAAACAATGTAATCAGCTTTTGTTCACCAACAGGAGGACCATTAGGAGGCATTGTCCGTGTGTACATGTTGAAAGCACATCTAATAACTTACAATAATATGACATTGTGCAAACGAAGCTTGAGAATAATTATTGTACCCAATGTCTATGCATTGGATTGGAAAGTATGTGCATGGACTATTGAAGTGTACTATAGAGCCAAATAGCTCATTCTTCATGCAAAATGATGGCATTGGATAAACACCAACCTTTTGCCTACCATTGGGCCTCTGAACGAATTGTCAAACATCTCAATATTCCATAAAATGCATCTTCATCAACACCACAACACAAAAGGCTCTGTTGGTGTATGGATGTAATGTAGATGATACAATTTTCAACTCCATGCCGTACAATAGTCACCTATGGCCAGCCATCCAGACACCTCTGTTTTTGTTATTTGTTCCGAGGGTATGGTCAACAAACAATTGTTTCCATCTGGCAGATGGCATCTGCTGGCGCCTGGTCACCTCCCCTTTGGAATCTTTGTCGCCTCCACCAGTTCCAGTCTAGTAAGCACGGCTGTAAACTCAATTGACCACATAATCTTTAAGGTGCATGAGTATTTTTGGGGTCACACATACCAATTAGCAATTTGATGGAAAATTGAATCCATCGTTGATACAGATTTTGTGTTAGGTAGTAAGGGTCCAAATCAACGAATTAATGACTTGGAAAGCAATTGTTGGATTTTGATATAGGCAACCCAATCATAATAACAACACAAGTCATGGGTCAGACACAAAAGTGTTTCTAGCCAACAAGTTTATAAAAGGCAACTATACTCTCTTGTCAACAAGGCCACACCCACAGCAACCTTTTTTGCAATCCAATTGTGACCGAGCAGGTACCAAATGTTTCTATGCCCCCATACTCTCCTTGAGTATGTTCCAAACCTTGCAAATGATCTTGATACCCTTTTGTGAGGTCGTTTGCCATCCAGGACATGAACAAAAGTCGCTGTTATTTGTGGCAATCACCAACTTACTGGGCCTCTCAATCCACATCGTCAAGGTTGCCTTTAGGCGTTTCACCAACAGACTAGAAGCCCTGACAAATGAGAAAAACTGATTGTCCGGGGGTCCAGCTGCATCATCAACAGCCTGTCCAAAGTCATCAAAGAAGACACAAGGTTGTTGTGCGTATCCATCCCAAAACACACACTCCGGTATTTGTGAGTATGTGTACTTGGAGCTGTTGTGGAGAAAATCCTCTGCAAGCTCCTTGGCAGCACCTCCATCATAATCGTAGAGATGATTGCAGGCACAACAGCACTTTCCCCAATACGAGAAGGGCCAGCTACAAGTAAGACAAACAAGAATTTGAATTCGATAATACTTGGTGAGCAATAAATATTGCATTGTACCCCTTGGATATCCATGATTTTGTTTGACTTTGTTTCCTTACTATAAGGGTGATGCATACGTATGCAAGTGCTGAATGCAATTGCACAACCTAAGCGGATGCAAAGGATAGGAAAACATGCACCAAAAGTGGGAAACATGTATATTGTCATATTGCAAGCTGACTCTGAAATAACAGGTATGCCTCCCTTTGCAACCAGCCAACCCATGCTACCACTGCTATGTTGTGGTTGCCCGCGATTGATTCAACTTGTCGCCTCAGATGTTGTGGTTGGTGTTGTGGTAGTTCATGTTTATGATGTAGGTCAGCAATATGTTATGCCAGTTCGGATGCCTCCTTGACCATTGAGTGATTACTTCAATACTTCCCATCTTCTTCCTTGAGGGGAGTCACCGTAGCACTCTTTGTTCTAATGGATCATGTCATGACTAGGACCACATGCCAATAGGACAAAAGGCTTCAAATTTTTTTGCATGTAGCATATATGCTACATGGATTATATAATCTTTAATTCAGTTTTGCGCCATTCAAACCATTAAACTAAGGCAAGTCTGAAATGGTTTGTGAATTAAGGTAGGCGGAGTCAATTGAGTGAAGAGAACATGAACTGGAAGGGCGTCACAAACATCAAAATACATGCAATCATTGTCACTCACTTCAACCCCACAATGCAAATTGAATTCTAGTTTTACAGTCATGATGGAATGAAGGTTGTGTCCAAGGTTGTTGTGCGAGCACTTATTATAGATTGGCTAATAATTCCTCATTTATCTGACTGGGTTTTATATGGGTCTAAAGGCTGGTTGGATTCTGGAGTGTGCTTGGAGTATTATACTATACTACAGTACAATGTATTTTAATAGTGTCTCATTTAAAAGGGTGATTGGCCTTGGACATAGCCGATACCCATGCTCAAAGATGGTTGTATACCACCTTCAATGTTATATTCATTCTAGGCTCACTGGCCGCATCTCAGGCCCTTGCAGCCGCGTTGAGAGTGCGCAACATAGTAAGGCTGGTAGGGCCCGTTTGCGAACTGCACCGCCACATGGCAAGCCCACCAGAGAGGCGCAACATGGGCCTATTGCATCAAGAGGAAGCGAGCTCCTTGGTTAAGCCCCGGTATCAAAGATCCGGGAGGGCCATTCTAGC